AGGGATTTTTTCCATAAATAAAACTAAAAAAATTTCAAAAATACCACCCATTCTCGAAAAATTCCAAAAAAATACCACATTTTTCCGAAAATCGCTTGGGGAAGGTGCGGTTTTTTTTATGAAAACCACATTGGGAGGGAGCGGCCTGATAAACCGCGCCGGGAAGCAGCGGTTCACATGCAAACTGCATGCCCCTGTGCGGTTTTAGGTATATAATTTTTTTTTTTCGTGAATACAAAACAATAACTCTAGATAGCCTAGTAGATGGAAACTTGTTATGTGTTTGTTTAGATCATGGGTTTGAAACTTAGTGTGAGCAATTGATTTTTTAATTTCCCAGTTAGTTTTATTATATGCTATTATTTTTCAATTTTCCAAACGAACTTTAAGCTCGAGTATTTAATCGTAGTGAAATTTTTTTGACTATGCATAATTTTTCGAAAAATCTCGAACCCAATGTGGCTTGCAAGATTTTGAAAAATTATGCAAAATCAAAAATATTTCGCTACAATCAGATACTTTCCCTGTTAGTTTTATTATATGCTATTATTTTTCAATTTTCCAAACGAACTTTAAGCTCGAGTATTTAATCGTAGTGAAATTTTTTTGATTATGCATAATTTTTCGAAAAATCTCGAACCCAATGTGGCTTGCAAGATTTTGAAAAATTATGCAAAATCAAAAATATTTTGCTACAATCAGATACTCGAACTTAAAGATAAGTTCGTTTGGAGAATTGAAGAAGCATAACCATATAATAATAAAACTGAAAGGAAAATTAACAAAGCAATTGCTTGCACAAAGGTTCAAACCTATGATCTAAACAAACAAATAACAAGCTTCCATCCACTAGGCTATCTATATTTATTGTTTTGCATTAAAAAAAAAATATACATACAAAATGCAGGGGGGCATGCGGTCTGCATGTGAACCGCTGCTTCCTGGAGCGGTTTAACAAACCGCTCCCTCCTGATGCGATTTTCATATAATACCGCGCCCTCCTCAGCCGATTTTAAAAAAATGTGGTATTTTTGAAATTTTTTGAGAATGGATGGTGTTTTTTTTTTCTTTTTTTCTTTTATTGGTATCTCTGGGGAAAATTCCAAATTTTAGCACTATTGGAAATTGTTGGGAGCCAAATTGATTGGAACTGGCTTAATGGAGTTGATTGTGGGTTGTCATGTTTATTAGACACAAAGGCCTCACTTGCATAGAGCATTTTACGAACTTGTCATATTTGTGGACCTCTCAATCTAGTAACTTCTACTTTAAAAAGATTTAGACTATTAATGTAGTGTGTTTTATATTTCAACAATTGTATGACACTCAGAAAAGGATTCACTTAAGTCTTAATAGTAACCAGTGGACCATAATTATGACATACAATGTTAAAAGTCGAAAATGACAATTAATATACTTCTACTATCATGTATTCAACCATCCTACAGTCTTGGTTTGTTCATACCACCATGGTATGCTTTTCAAACCATAAGTATGCTCTTATTTCAATACCAGTCAATACTATATGGTATAGACTTGTAAAAAATGACTCAATTTTTTTTGTTCCAAAAATATATCAAAAGTGATATCATTTTGAAGAGCACAATTAATCTGATCTAACTGTACAAAAAAATTAAATTTCGACTTAAAACGAGTGAGAAATCGTCCGTCAAAGTTTAGGGATTAACAGAGATATGATTGTCAAAGAAACTAAAATGATGAGTTTCTTGTTAATGATTTAGTTATTTATATTAAATAAAAAATAGCTAAATTGTTTAGTTTAGATGCTATTTTGAACAATTATCTCAAAGAACTTTGTGTACTTTTAAAATAATTATTTTAATTTTATTTATATTTTATAAATTTTCGGTCCACCCGATCACGAAATCCTAGCTACGCACCTGCATGTCTTTATCTTATATTGGTTGCGAGCAAGTCAAGTGTTTTATACTTTATTAGTCATCTACTCCCTTTTGAAAAGTAATATTTGCAAGCCCTCTTTGAATAGGATAATTGTAACTTTTAGTTTTGAAAATAGTATGATCGAAAATTGCACAAATTTGAGACGATGAACTGTTTTGAAATTAAAAACTGGGATAATTATGCTATGCTTAGATTATAAGAATATAGTAAGAGAACATTTGGAATATTTTATATTTTATGACTAATTTCATGAGTTTTCCTTTTCTACACATAAAACTAGACCTGACAATTGGGTCGGGTTGGGTAATTTCGGGTTTGGAACTTCGGTTACGGGTCTGGTCATGTTTGGTTGGCTTATTTCGGGTCAAATATTGACCCAACCCATTCGGTTTCGAGTCGGGTTACAGGTCATTTCGGGTTATGAGCGTTCTCAGAAACAATATCAAACATGATTCATATTTTCTTAAAGAACACAAATTTTCACATATGCATGACAATAGTTTACCTAACACATGTCAATTAACATATTCTCAAATCCTCCCACGCTAATCAAATGAAATATAAATTGCACAAATTGTAAAAAAACAATCACAAGAGTAATACTACTACAAGAAACACATGATATCTGATTATCCTTAAACTCCAAACTTGTCATTCAAATCCTTGTTAGTTTTTTTAATGAATCGCTATTTGCCGCCCATAGTTTTAAAATATAAGACGATTTTGCCCTTCTTCCAACTAATCCTAAACCTATCTAACCCGCCGTCGCCGACCAACTTCCTCCCTCCTTCCACAAGATCCTACCGCCGGCCGACCAGACCCCTTCACCGTTGCTCCCACCGTCGACGATACCTCCATTCGTCGCGGTGTTGTCGTCGTTGCCGTCTAGGAAGGGGCTCGCCGCGGTGTTGTCGTCGTCGAGGAAGCAGCTTGCCGAGAAGCTAAACATTTTTTTTTTGCGTCTGCTCGCCGGCGTCGGAGGGGTCCGCTCGCCGGAGGCGGACGTGGTCCGATCGGCGGAGGCGGACGGGGTCCGATCGGCGGACGCGGACGCGGTCCGCTCGGCGGACGCGGACGGGGCTGAAATTCACGGTCACTGATTTTTTTTAATGAAAATCATTTTTGAATTATTAATTATTTATTGCATAATTAAATAAGTGGAAATACCATAATTAGGATTTAAAATTATGAATTAATTCCATTTTTATATTGAATAAGTAAATATTATGTGCAATTGGGGATAATTTAAATTATTTATATTAATAAGAACATATTACGTAAACTAATTAATTGGGAGAGAGTAATTAATATTGCTAACTCCTTTGTTTCCGCATTTCTTTCTCTCGATGGCAAGTGTTTAATTAGGGAAGTGAATTAGACGTGGATTATTGGTGGAGGTGAAGAAATAAATAATTAATAATCCATTCTTTAACAATTGATTGCCGGAATTTACCATACATGAAATTGATATATAATTACTTTTTAATAATGTGAATATTGCTAACATTAGAAAATTGAGTATATTAGTGAATGAGTCAATAACTAGAGCATCTTTTCACAATTATAATTTAAGTGAATGAGTCAAGTTAATTCTATTTTTTCTTATAAATTATTGAAACACTCACCGATCTACTAAAATGTTAATACAAACATGGTGGAATTCACCGTTTCTTGATTAGACATCCCGGGCAAAAATTGATGAATAGTGCCATGATTTTCATCGAGGTTTGTGGGGGCTCTGGGAGTCGTAACGAGGAGTTTCTAGAGCTTATCACGCGTATTTTGATGATGCGAACAATTGTTATTAGTGGAGGCAAATACGATTTGGCCTCTAAGACAGTGTTGTAGTAGAATTGGATAGGTCGAGGTTGAAGATTGTTATTTGGAAGGATATAATTAGTAAATTAGGTATATTCGTTAACTTCTACAAAGATGCAAAGCATCTCTTTCCCAATCTACATCTTCTACCCCTCCGAAACCCTAAGCCCTTATTCCAACAAAATAGTTAACTACAACCTCAATCCATCCATTCCTACTGTGACATTGTTTTAGAAGCAAAATCATCTCTACCTCCACTAACAACATTTGTACGCATCATCGAAATACGCGTAGTAGGCTCAAGAAACACCTCATTACGACCCACGGAGCCTCCAAAAACTAAGAAGGAAATTTCGACACTATTCATATTTTTTTTATCGTGACATTAAATCGAGAAACGGTTGAGTCCACCACAATCCTCTCCACATTTTAAGCCATCAATGAGGGTTTCAACCATATTTCATGTCCATGTCTCTAGTAATTGCGAAAAGATATTTTTGTTCGACCTTCAACAAGCCACAAAGAGCCCCGATTCCTTGGATAATGTTTGATAAAACAAAGCTTAGGAATGATCTAATTAACTACGAAATTAATGTAATTAAAAATGTTTAAACAAATTTAATAAGTATTTTATAACCATTCTACATAATTTAAATTAATTATCCATTGTTTTTTAGAATACTTATGATAATTAATAATTAAATATACATACTTCTAGTAAGTATATTACAAAATACCAAAGAATACATTTTTTAGAATACTTATGATAATTTATAATTATACTTAAATATACATATTTAAATTAATTATATATTAATTGTTGATCTTATAACTTCTGGAAATTAGTTATTAAATAATGGATTATTAATTATTTTTTGATTCACCTCCCCATAGACCATAACCCATGTCTAAATTCAGTTCTCTAATTAACTTTCCAAATAATGTTTTTACAATTTTTATCTTTAATGGCTTAATTCGAGTTGCCGTCCGTAATTTTTTCTCTTAATGGCCCATAATAAGGAAATTGTTTATTATTAACTATTTTCCTCTTTGATTGCTACAACGGAATTAAGGGAAACATATTTTAATTAAGGCAATTATTTTCCCGAATTAACAATAAAATCCACATTCAAGATAATTATTTTAGGTAGTTCCCGTCTTTGTGTCCGTCCGTTGAGTAGAATCAGTTTAGGTAATTAAATAAACAAAAAAAAGATAAAACACGGTACGAAGCCCTTGAACGGGCGTCGTCCGCTCGCCGGCGGGCGGACGGAGGTGAGCAGGCAGAGGCAGCGGGGAGTAAATCGGAGTTCAATCAGGTCAAATTTTGCTGGATATGGTGATTGCTGTGGCAAGTGATTGACGGAGAGCCCACAACAATAAGATTTTTTTAGGTTTGTTCGATGGTGGGTTTGTGGATAAGGACTATCAAGCTGAAGTAGCGAGCAGATCTACCGTTGCAAGGATGATCATAGAGGCGACAATGGCCTTTCTCATGAACCAAGTAAGGCAATATATTTTACTACCTCATCTTCTTCCTCCCTTCCGCTTTCATGATGAAAGCTCTTTCATTTGTATGTGACATGAGTTTCACAATAGTAAGCAGAGGCGGTGGGGAGGGAAGGCAGAGCCGGCGGCAGATTGGAAGAAGGGTAAAACTGTAATTTTATTTATAACTATGGGCGGCAAATAGTAATTCTTAGGGCGGCAAATAACACGTCTCTTTTAAACATCTCACTAATTTATGAGTGATTTTATCATATTTTAGGAATAATATATTAAATAAAACGGGTCTAACGGGTCGACCCGCTAACCCACCCAACTTGACCCAAAAAATCATGGGTTATCGGGTTCCGGTCATTCGGATTTCGGGTTACAAAATTTTCTAGTTTTCAGGAGGTTTCGGGTCGGGTCAACGGGTCGGGTTGTAATTTGCCAGGTCTACATAAAACTATTCGTCTTAACTTATTTCAATTACCAATAGTGTATCAAGCAAAGTACATCCATAGCAAGTCATTTAAGAAAATCTTAGAAATCAACCTACAATCAAAATATCGATTTAGTCTAATTCAATCAAATGCAACTCATTAGATATTCATCACCACCCACCTTAGAGAGCAGACCAATTATCTTGTAATATTAATAAGGAAAATCATGAATAACACAAATACACAATCACATTTAAAATGATAATTTCTCAAGAGTAATGTTGATGTGTAGGGGTGGGCAACGGGACGGGACGGGACGGGATACCCATAACGTTTGAAACGGGTACCCAGTCCCCATTTAGAGAGCAATCTCCATCCTATGTCCCAAACCCGTACGGGTTAACAGGTACCCATTACTCGTACGGGATGGATAACGAGTACCCGAACTACCCGTAAACACCCGTCCAATTGGGAGTAGCAACGTTGACTGCGGGGAATGAGATCGCCGTGTCGGAAGGGAAATCGTCTCGTCGCAAAACTAATGAGCCTAGGGAGATTGTCGCATCGGAGGGGAAATAAGGATTACCTAGTGGGAGGCCAAACTCTGATTAATTGAGTGTAGACAGTTATATTCCCTGTATGAATGAATACTAGTTACTAGTTTTCTCCTCATTTATCTTGTTTCCCGCAGTTATATTACTTTATAGGCCAAATTCACCTGTATAGCCAAAACTTTGACGGTTTTGCCAAATATAGCCACTTTTGGAGAAATACCAGAAATAGCCACTTCCGTTCAATTGTTTGACGGTGTTAATTAACATGCTGACTGGACAAACGGCAGCGGTTGACGTGGCATATATTATTCAAAAATAATGTAAGTGGAAAATAAACAAAATTCTATCTTTTTACAATTAAATAAAAAATTATAAAAATAAAAAAACAAAATTATCTTTCTCTCCATCACCAACACCTCCTGTTCACCTCCCCTTCATCAATCCTCAACCAATAATAAAAACAGAATCTTCCTCTTCTGCAAACCTCCACAACCTCCCCAGCCCAAATAAGAATCAATCCCTACCCATTAATCCCCACCCAGCTTCCGTCGACGATAGCACCACCACCATTTGAAACCTTCCATTCCCCAAATCAATCCGATACCACCACCACCACTACCAAAATCCCAGCTCACGGTCCCCGGCAGATCTGCGAAGGCCGCGTCGGTGGGGACGAACAGGGTGATCCCTGCGCCGCCCTCGTCGGCCTCGAATTCCTCCACCACGCCGGATGCCGACAGCATCGACGCCGCCACGAAGAAGTTGTGGCCGTCAATTAGGGCTTTTGTGATGTTGAGCCTCAATGGCGGCCGGGTCTCGGAGGCCATTAGATCGAAGCCGTAGGGGACGAGCAGCGAATTGACGGAGACGATTGTGAGATTGTAAGGGATGGTTTTGACGAGGGAGAGGACGGTGGCGTTGGAAGGGGAGTAGGCGGCGGGCGAGTGAATCGAGACGGTGTTGGTTGCCGGGTTCCGGGTCACGTTGACCGACCCGAAATTGGAGGGGGCCCGACCCGTGGTCTGGTAGAGCGTGGTGACGAGGAGCCCCGCGGGGGGCACGCGGCGGAGGTCGGACCAGGAGAAGAACTGGAGGAGGATGTGGTAGCGGAGGAGGTCGGTGAGGGCGGTGGGGGAGAGGCGGCGCGTGACGTCGACGGAGGAGGAGAGATTTGGGAGCTTGGCAACGGTGGCGAAGACTGACCGGCGGTAGCTGCTGGTTTTAATGGAGGTGAGAAGGAGATGAAAAGATGAGAAGGTAGCTGCTGGTTTTAATGGAGGTGAGAAGGAGATGAAAAGATGAGACGATTGGATCAGAGGGTAGAGGGCAGATCGAGATGGAGAGGAATCTTTTAGTTTTTTGTTTTCTTAGCTGTAGGAGAAAGAAGAAATCGAAGGATGAGGAGAGTAGCAGATGGGAGAAGAAGAGGGGTCTTGGAAGCAGATTAATGGTGATTGTTGATTGACGATGGGAGGAGGGTCGGTGGGTTACTGGAGGAGAAAGAAGAGGGTTCGAAGAGATTAGGTCAATAGGGATAGGGCAAATTTTTTTTTTTTTTTTTTTTTTTGTAAATGATGTTTCTTGTGAGTGCTGAGTTGGAAATGAAATGGAGGGTGAGTTGGCAGCCAAGTCAGCGTTCCGTTAATTTAACTAACGGTGTCATTGACGCCGTCAAACTATGTAACAGAAATGGCTATTATTGTCATCAAACTTTCAAATTCCTGGCTATTTCTGGTATTTCTCCAAAAGTGGCTATATTTGTCACAACCGTCAAAGTTTTGGCTATGCAAGTGAATTTGGCCTACTTTATATTTTAATATCAGTGACTAACAGTGGGAGGCCATACTATTATATTTCTTCTACATATATCTTGTAATTTAATTTATTTTAACTACTAACTTGGTTCGATTTGGTCCAAATTCAATTAATTTAATATATACCTTAAAATTGTTAAATCGAATGAAAATTGTAAGATTTTATGGATTTAAATCGCGAATAGTGTAGGATTTTAAGATCCATAGATTCTATAGTGAAATCAGAATGGGAAAAGATAAGATATATCATAAAGTCGTAAGATTTTTGGATTTAAAACAAGATTTTGTGTTAGAAATCGATTTCTTCCGGATTTCTATATTTATTATCATTATTACTAATAGGGTAATTCTTATTATGGTTAGTAGTCTTCTAGTAGAATTAGGTTTATTCTTAGGGTTTTCCACTATTTCTTATATATATGTACTTTGGGTTTCCATTCAGAATCAATAAGAAGCATATTAAGAAAATCCCTAAACCCTATTCTCTCCCAAATCCTCTCAATTTCTCTTCTTTCCCTAATCCGGCCGCCGGCCATTCTTTCTCGTTCTTCCCCAAATTCTACCTCTTAATCCCTAATTCTATTCTTTAAAACCCTAAATCCCCAATTATCAAACCCGTTAGAAACTTTGTTTCTAACATTTGGTATCAGAGCCTGGTTTCGAGAATTGAGTTTGTCACAAATCTCAACCAGGGACGAGTTTTACAACTGGTTCGTCGATGAGTTATACACGGCTCTCGGACCTCTCATGGGAAGAACTGCGAGACCGGGCCCGCCGTATCGGACGTCGTTGGCTGCCCGAGGAGTCGGCGATCGCGAAGGCAGAGGCGGTGGTTCACGCCGACAACCACGAGCGACACCCACCGTCGGCCGAGGCTGATTCGTGTGAAGGCGGACGGCGACCCGAGCAGAGCCCTGCGGCGATCGTCGCGGATGGAGAGCTCGTGAGTCCTGCCGCTGCTACCCCCAAGCATCATCACCACCGTTGAGCAGCAGGAGCAGGATTTGCAGCTTGTTGGGGACGACGCCGAGGAAGGGCAGGATGCTGAGGTCTTCGTCAAGACCGTGCCGTGCAGCTCAATTCCAACGTCAGGAACGTCATCCAAAATCACCGCCACCTATGAGGAATCCGCCACCGATGAATTTCTCGCGCCGCTTAGAGGAAACCCGGAATGGGTCGTGTCTCTGTTGAGAGACGACCGAGCAAAAGGGTTCGTCAGGGAACCCGTAGCTGCGGCTGCAACGATCAAGGACAACACCAGCCTAAGCAAGGATGGCTTGGAAGGGACCCCAACTCGCGTCGCAAACTGGAGATTCCGGAAGAAGAAGAGAAGACCCGACGGAAGAGACTTGGGAGTCGCTGCGTCACTCTCATCTACCAACGACCGACTACGTAAAGCGGGGAAAACGTCGCCTGGCGGTCTGAACACGTCGGAGCTACGAATCGCGCCCGGGATCGTCACGACGTGGGGCGGAGGAGAGACGACAAAGACCAGGCCGAAGGAAACGTCGACGGTCGGGGAAACGAAGGCCGAGGCGAGGCGGGAGTCGCAGGGTGTGCCACTCGGGGCGATGTCGAGCAGGTTAGCGGCGCGGTGGAACAGCGAAGGGGGACCCGACCTGGCGTTTCGTGCGAAGAAGTGGACAGCAGCTCATGCGGTGACGACAGCGATCGGGGAGAAGAAGCCTTGCTCGGCAGCTCCGTTCGAGCGATTGAAGTCCACGCCAGTGGCGGCTTTGCCATCAGCGGGTCGACCGCCCCCTTGCCGGGTGCGTTGCCCGTTGTCGGAGAAGAAGGAGGGGAGCAAGTCGCCGGTGGGAGGCGCGCCTGTAGAGGTGAAGGCGGAAGCGAGATGGGTTGCTCGCTGGAGGAGCCGCTCGCCGGCGGGGAAGTCGAAGAAGGAGGAAAGGGAGAAGGGCGGCGCTGCCTCTCTTTCGGCAGCCCATGGGTCGCCAACCCTAGAGAGCTCCACACACCAGCCTGACTCGGTGGGCCGCGCAAGACAGTTGGTCGTCCAAGGGAATCAAGCCATTTTTGGCAGAAATGGCCAATCAAGGTGGGCCGATCCCGATCCAGAGTATAGTCAGTGGAGTTGGAATAAGTGGGCTGAAGCTGATAAACAAATGGGCAGGAAGAGAGCGTGGCCTTGAGCCAAATCAGAAGGAATTAAAAATGAGCAATGGGCCAAGTTCATAAGACTGAGATTAGAATTGGTTTGTCTTGTAGATAGCCTTTTGTATGGAGTGGGCTGCAGGGAAAAGGGAGATGAGTTCATGGGCTTAGCAAGTGAGCTCACAAGGAAATATGAGCCAGAAGCAAGTGAAGGGTTAACTAAAGGAACTGATGGGCTCCGGATGAGCAACTCTAGTCTAGAGCATCGATCTCTTGAAGGGATCAGATTAGCATGGGCCACTGATATGGAGTTTGAAGTCGTTGACGGATTGATGCTCAAGTATGGATTGTTGTACAAGATGGAAGCAAGTAGTGGGCCCATGAAAGTGAGCTTTGATGAGTTGGGTCCACATGGAAAGATTGGTGCAAGAAGTTCAAGTGAAGAGTTGGAGCACGATTGGAAGAAAAGAAAGCGTAAAGAGTGGAGGAGCCAAGGCACGGATTACGCAGGAGACGGGGAGATAAAGGTCAGGTCGGTCAACCTTGAGGACAAAGTTGGTCTGAAGGGGAGGAGATGTTAGAAATCGATTTCTTCCGGATTTCTATATTTATTATCATTATTACTAATAGGGTAATTCTTATTATGGTCAGTAGTCTTCTAGTAGAATTAGGTTTATTCTTAGGGTTTTCCACTATTTCCTATATATATGTACTTTGGGTTTTCATTCAGAATCAATAAGAAGCATATTAAGAAAATCCCTAAACCCTATTCTCTCCCAAATCCTCTCAATTTCTCTTCTTTCCCTAATCCGGCCACCGGCCATTCTTTCTCGTTCTTCCCCAAATTCTACCTCTTAATCCCTAATTCTATTCTTTAAAATCCTAAATCCCCAATTATCAAACCCGTTAGAAACTTTGTTTCTAACATTTTGACTACCTTACCCATAGCTTCCATAAGTGTATGAGCGTGATTATGGATGGACAAAGAAACAAGTTCAATTTATAAGAATGCAAAGGATAAACCAAGCACAAACGGTGGTCGGTGGACAAGAATCATGTCGCCAACCACAAATAACAAACTAATTTGCTTGTCTAAGATAACATGACAGAATGAGAATGAAGTCACCACATCACTCTCTAACGCAATGAGAATGGCCAATGAAGCGAGACTGGAAGGTAAGAGATGTTGGCAACTTGGTTCTTTCCGATGATGTGGTTGTTTTTTTCAAATTTGGATCCGAGTTTGATCTTAATCGGTGAAAGAAAGTCAATACCTTTTTATTTTTCTTATAATTAATGATGAAGAACTAGAATAAAGAGTTAGCATAAATGATCGTGAAAAGGATTCAAATTGCACGTGAATATCTATAGCTAAACTTTATTAGATAAGACAAGTATCAAATGTGTAATTCAAATGAGATAACAATCCAAGTATAGCTCAACCCCAATTTTTCCCTAATGAAGGATATATCTATACATGAGAAATCATATTGAAGTAGAATCCGTTAATACATCACATCCCCATTGAACTTCTTTTCCCCCCTCAGCCTTCTCAGAAGGTATCAGGAGAAGGAGCAAATGCAGTAGCAGTACCATCATCCGCAAATGTAAAAGCAGGGGAAGACAGAGGAGAACCGATTGGGGCTCCAATAGCTCCATCTTCTTCCCCAGCAGTTCCCATAGCACCACCGTCGAAAGCAGCACCTGAACTCCTGGGCTGATCGTACAATGCGCGACGAGGAGCACCATCCCCCCTGCTGCAGATATCATGCAAGTTCATTCCTGCACCAGCAGTCACGCCAACAAATTAATTAGGTTGTGATATTTTCAGCATTCCCCGTGTAGTGCTGGTAAGTAATTATGTTTGTACATAATATGTTACCTTCGGCTTGAGCCAAGTTGGAGTAGAGATCGAGAATGTTGGGGCAGTAGCTGGAACAGGGCTGGGAGCAGAGCTTGGCAACGAAGTTGGGGGAGAGGAGGTAATCAGAAGAGATCCCGACGGCGTTTCTGTCAAGGCCGCAGTCGTTGATGCATGCCTCCGTCTCGATCCATCCGCTCATCGTCTCAACAACCACTTCCGATGTCTTGCATTGGTACTTCACAATCCCTTTCCTGGCCAAGTAGTTCTCCAGCACGCATCTCTTTCCTGCGTCGGAGATCGAGTAGGCGCACAGCTCTACTGGCAGCTCCTCGCACATTAGATCACCAACGGCTCCTTTAAAGATCAGAAGGGAAGAGAGAGCGAAGAGAGCGATCGTCTTCAACAGGTTAACAGCCATGTTTGTTGTATAACGTTACTTAGGAATGGAATGAAATTGAAGCTGTAGTGTAGTAGGAAGGAAGGAAGGCAGGCAGGATGAAGGAATGTAGCGAGATGTGGATGTATATATATAGCTGGGCTGGGATGGGAGAGGAAACAATTTAGTTACTGTTTCGTTGGCGAAACTCGCGTGTTCAATGTGCACTGGTTTCAAGTAAACACAAACACGAAATCAGACAAAATCGTCAAATATCCGCCGCCGGTGTCGGCGCCGTTGATTTGATCGATTAAAACAGAAACAAAGACGATCGTCAAATGGCCGCCGCCGGTGTCGGCGTCGTTGATTCGATCGATACACCTTTGACTCTAATCAAACAACTGTTACTCGGTTCACACCTCTCCAAACTACGTTCGAACGAGGGTGTTCGAATAAACAGAAAATCGAACCAGGAGTGTTCTAAGTTACGTTACCTCTACTCCTATGGAGGTTCCTCTGGAGAGCTCCGCGACTACGACTACAAGCTACGATCTACGACTCTGCAAAGGAGTTCTTTGACAGAGCGGTTCTACGAACTAGAGAGAGAAAAGATAAAATCTGCGACGGTGCAGTTTGTGATTTGATTTTGCCGTCCCGAGCTTCTCTCTCTTCCTGTTGTTTATACTTCGCTCTTCTCCCCGCAGTCGTAGTAACTGCCTTCGCGCCTTTGTCTCCCACTTCTTCATTCCTGTCAACCGTGCAGGTAACTTCCTCCTTGTTGCGTGCTAATCACGTGCCCTCGAAACCGCTCCTGCTTTGCAGAAACTTGGCGAAACGACTTACCACCTTGTCCATGTAACGATGATGTTTCACCAATACCACGGCATCGCCTTTCACCAACCGATGTCGTTTTATGATCCAACTCAACTGCCCCGACCCGGTTTAACCAACGACATTATTAGTCCATCAAACAACGCGTTCTATACTCTTGCGACGTCGTTAGGCTTGGCGGGCAGCCTTCGGCGCACTCTTACCACTATCGCGATGTCGTTTTACTTTTCCGCGACATCGCTTTTCATTAAACGACACCGTCTAAAATACTGATTTATTAAATCAGCCCTCATTGTTAACTCACCGTCAAAACTCTCACCCCGGCGTCGTTCTTAGTTAAACAACGCTATTTCCTTGTCCCGCGGTGTCGTTTCTTCCTCTTGCGGCATCGTTTTCAACTAAACGCCACCGTGCTAAAAAGTCATTAAAACATTAATTAATTAATCTGGCCATCACTAGCTATGGCCAACGACATCGCTAGCGCCACCACAGCTCCGATTGTTTTTCCTTTTTGCGACATTGTTTGTTATTTTAAACACTGTCGTTTGCCTATCCACGGTACCGTTGGGATTACTCGCGGTACCGTTTTTAACTCTCCACCAACAAGGAACAAAAATATTAATTAATTAAAAACAACACTCCTTCTCCAACAAAAAACCACACGCGCGGCCCTTGTTTTTTTATTTTCGACAAGCGGTGCCGTTTCCAGTGCCGCGGTACCGTTTTAACTCTCCGCGGTACCGGTGAGCTCCCTTGCGGTACCGTTTTTCCTCCTCCAACAAGGAATAAAAATAATAATTAAATAATCACAACTCCTCCTCACCCTTCATTAAACGAGCGGCCTCTTTATTTTCGGCCTGCGGCGTCGTTTCCGGTGTTGCGGTACCGGTTCGGCCTCCTTGCGGTACCGGTGAGTTCCCTTGCGGTACCGGTGAGTTCCCTTGCGGTACCGTTTTAACTCCAAACTATACCGTTTTTTACCCCGCGATATCGAATTAAATGCCGAGACTAATTAATGCGGCATTTAATCCCGGCCAAATTAATTTTAGGTGTCAACAAATGCCCCCCACAATTTGGTTTATAAGAATTATGAACCAAATTGTTGACACAATAAATCGTATCACCTAAAATATTTGCCAACTACGAACCTCACCGCCTCGTCAAGGAGGACCTATGGCTGCCATATTCCTATGATTAATTTCAATTAACACCAAGTTCGCCTAATGGATGAAGCTGATTTCCCATGGAACAGTGGCTCTCCTTTGTTATTGGTCCACTACTTTATATGGCCAACTCATACTCCTTTTCTTTTCACAGCACTGAAGCAAGCTACCAGACAAGATCCATAATGCCCCGAAGTTGGCTCACAATTTTGTTTGGAGAAAACGACGTGCGTTTTAGTTCCCTTCCACAAACCCGCAACATTGCTGAGCCAGAAGGAGGGAAGAAAAATAAATAAATCAACAACACTGCCGGGGCTTCGCGAATAACCAAATCGCGGCGTTGTGCTACTCTCGCAACACTGCGGCCCATCGCAACACCGCTGTCTTGGCTCAAAAAGATATGTTAGTTATTATAATATACTTATTATTTATAAAATAAAACCAACAGACTTGGCTTTTGTCATAGTTGGCCTTAACAGCTCGGTGCCGATAGTGTTCCCAAACAGCTCCGATTTTTGTTTCCCTCGTCACAACTGTCTTGGCCAAAATCCTTTTATTATTTATTTATATTTTTTCCTCTATTTGCGGCCGGTTGTGCGGCCTCGTACTCGCAGAGCCCCGTCTCGCGTCCCAAACAGCCCTGTTTTTTATTTTTTTCTTCACTGCAGTTTTGGCCGCATACTCTCTCTCTCTCTTTTTTTTTTTTTTTTTTTTTTTTTTTTTAACACTGCTGCTCCTCTCGGAACAGACCTGGCGGTGGCAGCCCTCTTCCTGCAAAGATACGAACATGCTTCTCTATTGAGGTCCGAACTTCTCTCTTTTTTCCCTTTTTTTTTATTATATATTTTTTTCCAATGCTACTGTGATCTTTCAAACCTCTACAACTGTGATGTTTGGTCAAACCAACCTTGATTTGGTTTTATTTCCACCTTGCACGATGGCCAAACAACTCTGTCGTACCACAATACGGTTCCTTCAACACTGCTACATTTGGATTTATGATGTTCAACTCTAAAACAAAGTTGCAACCCATCAACGTGGCAGCTAGTGCCACAGAGTTGTTTGAACTTCTTTTCCCACAACGTTGCAACAAACCTCCACACCATGAGGAATTAAACAACGTTGTTTTCCTCAGCAAAGCTGTTCCTCCAAAAACAGCTTTGCTTTTTTTTTTTTCAAACAACTTTGCTTCCCGACCATGTATTTTATTACTTTCGGGCAAGGATGTAGCCCATTTTCCCTGTGTTGTGGCCAAAATAATGTTGCTAGAAAGAAAACAATCAACACAACTTAATCCAACGACCATGATTGGTCATTTTTTTACCGCAATAGTGTTACTTCTTCCACATGGCCGTAAAGCTATTTCTTACAGCTTCGATTTTTCAACAGTATTGTTCCAACAACATTTTTTGGCCAAGTGCTATGCTCTTTTTACCTCTACAGCGTCGTGCCCCCCAACAATGTCGTTAAGAAGAAAAATAAAATGACACCTCTACTACGTGGCTTAGGCAAAAGCGGCCATGTTTGGTCCTTCTTTCCTTATTAACCATTATAAAAAAAATTAAGCCACATTTAATTCTTTGTCGATACTGTGACTCTCTCGACAACAAAGTAACCGACGGACCATATTTAACAACTCTGGCCAAAAGAAAAAAAATCGTTTAGCCAACACAAACATACACCAACGGCCTTGATTATGCTAATGCAATGCCGATAGTCTAAGTAGCTCAGTTACTCATGAATCCAAAATAAAAATTGATAATTGGCTAAACAACATGATTGCAACATATCCATGCAATATTTCATGACATGCATACGTAAAATAAAACTTTGTAGCCATTCAGAAGCATAGTTAACCCGTACCTGTCAGACTCCTGCAAACTGGCACTATGAAACTTGAATGTGGCTCCTCCTTCGCGTCAAGGTTGATTTCTTCCACAATGTCGCATGCATCACCACTACTTCCTCTCCCAATTTGTTACTCGCATCCTCGCCGTTGATCGGCAACCCCTCTAGCAAGGCCGTGATTTCGGCCTTCTCCACCCTCTCTTGAGGTGGCTTACTCAAATTTTGGTGGACCACCTAATGCAAGCATTGATGGTCTCACAATATCAGACAACGAGTTCAAGCACGCCTTACCCAACACCTTTGTGCTTGAAACTGCGACGTTGGTCGTTCCTCCATCCCCGCTCCTGATTTCGAGTGGTCAAAAATCTCCATGGTACAAATAAGCTTCAGCAACGTTGGCCCCAACGGCAAACGGCTTTGTGTCAGCCTGTACCACCTCAACAACACCATCTTCATTCCAAAACATCAAACACTGATGCAGTGATGAAGGAACACACTTGTTGGCGTGAATCCAATCCCGGCCAAGTAGTGCGTTGTAGCTTATCATTCCATCCACCACGAAGAAAGCACTCATCCGCTTCTGTGATCCAACTCCCACGACCACTGGGAGGATTCCCCTAGCAGAAGTGGACCCGCCATTGAAGCTTGTCACAAACACTTCCGTTGGGATCAAGTCATTAGTGTTCTTGCCCAACTTCTTCAGCATCCTTGTTGGCATCACATTTACTGCAGCGCCATTGTCAACTAAGACTCTCGACATTGGTACGTCATCAAGTGTGGCCCTGATGTAGAGAGGCCTCAAATGACGCATCATCTTCGGCTCGGGCTCGTTAAACACAACGACCCTGTTTGATTCTTCACACGTGGTTCCTTCGTCCACGGCTTTCGCTTTCGCTTCTGCAGCCTGGATAGATTTCTCCAGCTTGTCGAAGTCTGATTCCCATGTGATATTCTCCACCGGCACACTTGTTGACTCTTTCGGGCCTTGGTATAACACGTAAAAAGGATATCTTCCCTCATCTTCGCCTAGTGGCCCAACAGCTTTGTGGCCTGCTTCGTACAGCTCTTTCAGGATTCTCTGCGAACTCTTGTTCTGCCTGGCTGACTCTACTGCCAAGTCAATCCAACCATTCGTGCGGGCCATCATTGCACTCCACGGCTCAGCCTCGATTGGCAGATCCGCAGACTCGCCAACCAGCT